CATTTTTAAAACTGATTGCTTCATTGATTATGTATCTTTTGAACTTTGCACAGTTATTGGTGTCTTCCTGAAAGCAGAAAATTTTCCTAGCAAAGGAATCACTGAAGTTTACCAGGCTGGAAAGTTCAGGGATGTGAGACCACCTTTTAAGTGGTTCCAAGTCTAACCAGATCTGTGTACATGACTTAAACCTCTGTCTCTAGGGCCATTAACTGAAATTTTAAATGGTGACAGGTAGTATTTGGTCTCTTACTCTTGGAGGTATTTGGCTTAAGAAATGAAAAGAGAATGATTCTCAGAAGACTACTACCCCTGCACTTCTGTAAATCAAACCATTTAAAGACAAAAACCATACAAATTAAGCCACCTAAACCAAGGCTCTTGAAAATATTACCCAACTGATCTGTGATCTGCAAGGCTCTTCCTGTTTGTACACAGACTCAAATGTTTCCAGAAGTAAATAAAGGGTGAAATGAGGATGGAGCAAGGATTTTTCCACATAAGGTTATTTCTTCTTTGTAGCAACTAGGGGAGTGAAACGTTCTCTGAGAAGCCCTATGACATTTCAGAAAAAGAGGCGGTTTCCCAGAAATTCTGTGAATATCCTGACCTTCACAGTGCTCGCATTTCTACATCACTCTACACACGATGGCCCAAATGCATAATGCAGACACTGGTCAGCCTCAGCAGTGCTCCACTCTGACCCACCCTGCCTTCATCACAATTATCCTCGAGGACCACCGCTCAGCATCTGGGTTATTCACACAGCACAGTGAGCCCTGGCCGTCCATGTCGACCACACATCCACCCATTCCTGTTGGTAGCACTTCTAGAGCCATACCATATCTATAGCTTATAACAAACCCCAAATTAACTGGGGAGGGGGGGCTTGCTTGTTTCTCTAGGTACCCTGCTTAGCCCACAGTCTCCCTGCAAGACTAATGCAAATGAAAGTGGTCCCTAAATTCCAACCTGTATCCAACCATGCAACTAATTTTCAAAAAAAGAACAGTATTTGAGATACTGCTCAGCCAAGAATCTGAATTAATGCCATGTTGTATACAAAACCTTAGCAACAAAGCCATGTACAAAGCCTGTTCTTTGCTCTAGTTTGGTAACAAAAGCACAAAACCTGTAACTGAGCAGGTGGCAGAAGACACAGCATAATGCATTTTTATGCACCTTCCATATGCCCATTCCAATATCCAGTGAGATAAATTCTCCTTTCACTTACATTCATGCAGTCCCACTCAAATCTTGTGGTTCAGTACCACCATCCACAGGAAAATTCATCTGTGATAATCACGCTGTCCATGATGCATCAATTTTTAAAAATTAAAACAAAACAAAAATCTCAAAGGCCTCTCCAGATATCACAAATTTCTGTCAATTCTCATTCTTTATCTAACTCAACCACGTATGTCCTGAGTCACCTTGGCAAATTACCTATGGATTTGTATCCCTAACGGTTTCTTCCTTTATCTCAGTTTCTCCAGCCCTAAAATAATGGTAGTGATACATACCTGATTTCTAAATTGTGACATGAAGCTTAATTCATTCAATGCTCTTCGATACCAGAAGAGACTTGCAGAGGAAGGGTGCCACAGGGAAACACTGACCAGGATATTTCGGTATTTCTGTGTGCAATATGGACTTTTTATATTATTCCAAATTAACACACATGCAAGATGTGTTCAGACATCTGAAAAATACTCTCTCAGGAATGTCAAAGCTTAAAATCTAAGAAATAATCACTCTGTAAGTGCATGCTAGTGGCTTGCTTTGCAGATTAAAAATAAAAACCTTATGTTTTCTTGTAAGCACAGGGTTGACACTGGTTTATTTCTTTCAAAAATACTTACAAAAGCCAGGATTTCTCTGTATATATGTGACCTTGATTCCTAGATGGCACGGGGACTACTTAGAGATCATGTTACGAAGTTATTTGCAGTTAAAGGGGAAAAAAAGGCTAAAATTAATGAGTCACTGGGTATTTTCTTCTGAGAACTTAAGTACTTAACAGTAAGAAAAAAACAGTTTACAGCCAGGTGGCTTGAGGGGATATTTTGTTGAACACTGATTAAAAATAATTTCTTCTAAATGAGACCTGACCACAAAATGGGACCATTAACGAGCAGGGACATTCTCACCAGAAAGGAACTACGCTTCATCGGCTCCTGCACCGCCCACAAACCCCAGGTCTTTTTTTTCTCTCTCACACACTCTCTTACCCCCCCCCTCCACACACACACACTTTTTCTCCTCTTCCCTTTTCTTGTTCTTAATAGCAGGGTAAATAAGCAGCAAGTGATGCTGAAATGTTTTCGGCCAAAAACAGAGGCCTAACTCCTCTGAGAAAACATTTGGCCTCTGTGGTTTTGTAATATGTTCCAGAACACTGAGTTCACTGAAGAACACTGTGAAAAACTCCCATCGGCTGGAGTGATGCTGGGGAATGTTACTGTATCCCAACTTCCAATTGGTCCATTTCCTGCAGGCCTTGTTAAAAAAAAAAAAAAAAAAAAAAAAGGAAAAAAAATACTGCTATGTGGGAGTTAAAACAAGTTCTCATGGGAAAAATGAATGGCAAGAAATTCTAGCTTTAAAAGAAACAGCTAATCTGATAGTTTGATTGTTCTTCAAAACTTACAATGAACCAATAATCCTAATTAAAAACACTTGGCCTAGTTCTCTAAAGCATCATAGCTTTTTCTATGCTTCGTTTGTACACACCATAGACTATTAGTTTTTTTCTAGTGCTCGCTAACAAAGTGCTGACTTTGTTGGGATGGCTGAGCTAATTTCGTGAACTCAGTGTGAAACCTTAGCTAAACAAAATTGTGGTAATTTTCCTTAATTTGTAAAAGTGATTGGAGTGCAAACAAAATTTTCCTCTTGGGTCAATCCTATAATTTTCAATTAACTAAAACTAATCGGCAGGCGTGTACTGAACCTGCATTTTGTTTAAAGGGCTGGAAGGCACTTCTGAAGGTCAGGATGCACTAATTGTTTTTATTTTAGTTTCATTTAGTCCTTTTTAAAAAGCCACATTTAAGTTCAGGCTGCCTCTAAAAGGAAAATGCAAATCGTGTGAGGTATGATTTCAGCCACTATAGCTTTTCTGCATCTATTGTAACTCCATAAAAGCTGCATAAGAGAATTGCCCAAGGATGGGATCACTTTTGATTTTATCGCTGTTGTTTAGTATTTCATAACTTTCATTTACTGAAAGAAAAATATGTGTTTCAAACACTAACCTGAAAATGCATATATGGAAACACTCCCTACTGGGACACCTTATTTCCACATTCAGTCACTGCTGCCCTCCTTTTTCCTGAAAAAGCTAATTAATGATGATCTGAAAAGCAAATCCAAAATGGGTCCAAGCCATTTTTACAATTACATCACAAAGCAAAGCCCCAAAAAATTTATCTGCAAACTCAAAGGAGGCAGGTTTCCTCCATTTCTCCTTCTTCTGCACATGTATTTGCCATTTCACCAGCCCAAGATGCAGCCACCCTGGTGGCTTGACAACAAGCAGAGGGACAGCACAACTTCTTGTGAGTAAGAAAGTGAGAAGGGAAAGGGCTCATGGTCAAACCATCCAGAGCTCTGGCTGACACTTTCATGTTGTACACTGGCAATTTGTACCAGCTGGCAATTTGACCCTCTCCTTTTTCTTTTTCTTTTGTTCCAGCACATTCAAACCCTACATAACTTTTTGATATGGTGCATTATTGTCCAATATATGGATTTCCCACACATTGTTGAAATCATAATGCTCACAATAAACACAGCCAGCCTCCACAAGCACCTCCTGCTCAGTCAGCAAGGCGAAACATGAAATTTTAAGACCCAGCTTAAAGCAATCCAGTGCATAATCCCAGCTGGGGGAGAGGGTATTTGAAAAAAGACAACAAAGCTTTATAAGGCACCTTTGTTCTACTCGCTCAGTGTTAAGAAAATCAAATGAGAGCTTCGTTACCCAGTTGGAGCACAGAGGTCTGTCCTCTGCCTCGAGTCCCTGTGTGTACGTTCACAGTTAGAGCAATATACGTGCCCAGTGCAATTCAGAGTGCCTCACAGCCAAACGTCTTTATGATATGTCTTATTCTTAAAGTTTTGGGGGCAATCAAGAATGGGGAAAGGAATTGCACTGAACCACAGCTCAGGGAAACAGTTACAGAAATAGTCCTGTATACATGTGTTGATCAACAAGCGCATAAAAGGACAAGCACATCAAAACGTGGACCAAGTCATTAATCCTTGCAGCATGCATACCTTCCAAGGAATCAGTGACACACATTCTTTTTAAAAAGTTAGGCTGTGACTCGATTTATTTCCCATGCCATCCTTATCACTGAAAGTGGTTTAACATTGACAGCATCTGCAACACCCTAGCATGTTTTTTTGCTAATAACTCTTCAGGCCAAACCACTCAACTCAGTGGTCTCAGGGCGGGATGCCACCCCAAAACACACTGCAAGTCACTGTGTCTGCAGCATTGGCTGGGGTGAAAGCTGCTGAGCATCTCTGGAAGTCAAAGACATGTTATGGTGAGATGGGCAGGCAAACAGGCTGCTGCTTTGAACACCTGCAACACTTGCTGGCCAACCTGAGATGGAGATATTTAGCAGGGTGCTTCTTGGAAGGCAGGCTCATGATTCCAGTAGTACATCTGGCTCTTAATGCTTGCACTCTTCCTCTGTTTAAGTACTGGAGTATCTGTTTCTCTCCTTCCTCCCCCCTCCGAGTTAAAGATACGTCCCATTGTGAGGACGAACAAGCAAACAAAAATCCTGCACTGGTATGTTTTCAGATTAATCTCTGCAGTCATCCATTTCTGAAAGTCAACCTTAAATAAGTATCTTCAATGACATCCTCAGCCAAAATAATAAAATACAGTACAGCTTTTAATGACGAAAGCAGAAGCCCTAGCAACCGTGACATATTACCTGCCCTATTTCTCCACATTATATCTAGTACCGAAGCATCCTTACCTGTGTAAATGAATCTTCCAGGCGTTCCCTTGCAAAACTGCTTAGACTTGTAGGACAATGTGACTTCTACAACCCCTGGGATATGTCGGGGAGGCGTCTGTACACGGATGGCATGAGGAGTAATCAGCTAGAGGAAAACATTGAGAAGAGAATAGAAAGGAAAAAAAAAAACCACACTGTTAGATGCTCAACACTTCTTTAATAACACTTTCCTCTCAGATCACAGTAAACAAGCTTTGAAACATGTAATTAACCTGTCAATGTTTGAATACAATCTTGATGCAACCCACACAAAAGCCAGAGACTACAATATTTACAAGCGTTCTCCTTCTCAGTCGTAACAACATTATTTCTGTTTCCATACATGGCAGGCACTTGCTTCCTAGTACAAACATTAGCCCTGGTTTAATGCAATAGCTTTTGCTTACAGCAGCAGGATGCCTCTGTTTGCTCAGGTGAACACTGAGGTCATGACAGTGTCTCACAGATCTGATTGACAAATGACACACGGTTACATGTGTGAACACGGCACAGCCCAAGCCCTGGCAGGGTTTTCAATGCGCTGGTCCCCAGCCGACATCTGTACACTGTGAAAGCCCCATGTGCTGCTGTTTTAATTTTCTGTTCATGTTGTGGAGGTAGAACTGATTACTGCACAAATTCAAAGTTTGGCTTCTGAAGGATACCGGATCTTTCCTTGCAAATGATCAGAGCACCCAAAAGGATACCAAATACAACCATCTAACCGTCACATCCAGCCTGCCTTCACTGCAGTGACCGACTGACATGCCAGAGGGCTCCTGCAGCTGTGGATTTACACAGTAATAAGCAGACAAACTTAACTTTCTTGCTAATGGGGCTGGGGATCTTGATCCTCTTAACACAAAAAGGTTGGGGTGGGTCAGTGCTGCACTTTCCAGGCTCTAGACCATTTTTGTTCTTTCAGGAGTCTGGACTGGATAGTCCCCGAAATTAATACTAGAGCCATCTAGGAGTTCACTAATTTATGGCAGGTTAACTCAAATCTCTGCTGCACTCGGAAACCACAGCATTGTCCTCCCCATCACTGAAATGTCCTCTTCTCACTAGTTTTGCTCCCTCAGATGAGAATAGTAAGAAGAGGTACACAGAAAAGAAGATGTGGTTGTGTCCAGCAACCAAGATACAGCTCTGGAACATGGATAATCCTTCTCTAACCAACTGTGGCACATTAACACACTTCTAGATGGGCAAACAAGATCAAGACCATAACCAGCCTTGACAATAAGCAAAGCCATGGGCACCCCATGCAGACAGTCAACTGCTCTGTGCTGTTGGACTCATGTCCTGGATCAGTGAACACATTTCAATAGATTTTTTTTTCTTAATAAAAGGATAGTTTTATTCTTATTTTTATGAGGAACCAAACATTTCAAAATTGTAGTAACATCCTACCAAAAAATAAGACTTGCAACCAGTTCTTTGTTTAGGGCACAGGACTTCTTAAAGAAGCACAGAAGGAGACTAATGTCTGCCTGAGAGCCATCTGTGTTACTGAGGGAAATGGCACACACGGTAGGAAGTTCTCCACATTTTAAATAAGAAAATTAATATTAAATCAAGTTGAAGATTAAAACCAAAACTACCAGCATCAAACACTCCAAAAGTTATTCAGATCCACAGAAGTCATAAGTCATTTTACAAATGGTCATGTAGGAATTGATGTCTTCTTGTTTATGAGCTCCAAATAACATGTTTTCAGGCTCTGCTTTGAAATCAAGTGATTTAGAAACTTACTTATTTTAAAAAGAAACCTGCCTTTTTTCTAATTTACTCACTCTATCAACTGGGTAAAAAAAACCCAAAAAACCACAAAACAAAAAACCCAACACCAAAAACCAAACTTCCAAGGATTGCTTTTACTTAAACTGAGTTGCCTTACAGTTGGGCTGACCAGAGCCTAAACCTCTAGACCAATTCACTGCACACCCTCAATAGTCAGCAGGGGCAGAAAGCATTGCCAAATAGCAATTTATTTCCAGTGTTTTAGACATCTCTCACGTTGGGATGAGCTGCTCTCTGGAAGTATCTACCTTTCTCCAATGAACCGAAATGACTAGTTTAGACTAGATGCTTAACTGTAGGCAGCCAAACATAGCTGAGATAAATCCTATCCTCAAGTGGTTCTAGTTAACTGGATGAACTGGCAAGATGAGAAAATTTTCATGACATTTTTAGGGGGAAAGTATTTGTAAAAACAGCCAAGGATTTTAATAGTAAAGGTTAACATGCTAGTCTTACTGCATCAGCTTGTGCCTTGCATCCTTCACCCCCATTCTGACATGAGCTATACAGGCAGCTTCTGGTTGTATCTTTGAATTTCCCAGCATTTACTGGTCTGTCACCACTTTAATGTTCCTTAAACATAATTTGTGGCATTTTCCAATACTCATCTTCCCTGGTTCCCAAGAAATGTCTGACCTATTTATGGTCCATTGTTGCAGAGAGCTGGGGAGAGTTAAGCAAGTTTCCTGGTTTGTTCTCCACAAACAGTTTGGTTTGCCTTTGTGCTCTGAAGTAAATAAGTTTAACTGTGTTTAAAACCACAAATATACAATAATGTCGCCCACACATTCCCAAAGGGTGAACATTATGTCTGAAGTCCTATGGTTCAGGATATTCAAGACATATTTTACTCCTCTCTTCTCTAGAACTAAAGCTTGGGAGATATACCCAGAGAATACATGTGCCTTTTCCTTTTGTTTTTTCTCCTTAGCATCTGCCACTGACCACTGTCAGGGATATAGTGCTGAGCTAGGATAACCTTTGTTTGGGTAAGCCTTCAGTTCTCATGCACACAGAAAGGAACTAGTTATCTTGGTTACATATCAATAGTCCCCTATATCATTGTCATATCAAGAAATGTTAAGTAATCTAGACACCCATAAATC